CAGACTGATGCTGTGTGCCTTCCAGCAATTTGGTACATCCTAGTAACATCTGATTACGCTGATTAGTAGCATCTCTGAAAGTTAGCAAATTTCAATTTTGATTTGAAGAGAATTGCTCAGACCATTTAGTGCATAACAAAACATGATCAGACAGCTCCAGGAAGAGTTTTAAGATGAACACAGAAAAAGAACAGGGTCTGTATACATGCATGCTTTATTCCTAGTCCTGCAAATCACAGTCTGGCGAATGCGACATCCGGATGCAGCCAGTGATTGCTGATGCTTACACAGTGGAAGTCCCTTCATAATGAAACCATCCCAGAGCAAGTAATCAGGGAAATATCAACTGTAACAATGTATTTACAGGTACCAGCATCACTGAAAATGCTAGCACAGTCTTTAACCGTTTAAGCACTCTCAAATGTGCATCAGTTTGTGCCTATGGGCAAAAGGCAAAGCTGCAATTAAACTATGCATGCAGATTTATTACCTCCCACCTCCAAAGGATGCACCAGAAAATACAGGGTAAGTATGACATTAGGTCCCTATTGTACACTCCTGGGCATTGTACTTAGCTGGCCTTCATTTTTTCCCAATACTTCCCCATATTGTTCTTTTTCATCTGTCTTAGATATAAGGAAAGTTGAAATGGTATGAATAATCTCCATGTATATTTATAAAGAGTCTTAATAGTAACTTAGGGATTTTAAAATGGTACATAAATTGTTTTTGGAAGCTCATTCACTCAGTAAAAGTGACATGGACTAAAATTTTTAAAATTGAGAATTTGCTGTGTTTGAAAATCTATTATCAGCAATGCTCAAATAAAAACAAATGACTTCAGCTTGGCACTAAGGAATTAAGTGAACTCCAGGTAGCTGCTTTTGGAGGTGGTGATTTGGGACAGAAAAAAAGCCACTGTGAGGAAAGTGTTTGAGCTCAGTGGAGTTCCAAATGCATACTTACAAAGCTGAACATGCATCTTCAGGTTTGTGAGGATGGGTCACACCCCCCCCCCCATCTCCACACCTCTCCTCCAAATTACCCCTTCCCAAAATGCCTTTTCTGTAACAGCAATGACTGGTGTTTTGCTACATCCACCTGTGTGAATGTTATGCCCATGAGAAGTCACCTTCAATTAACCACAGAAAGTATATTGTTCCATCTGCCTGGTTTCATTGAGTGATATGAAGGAAACTTTTCACCTTTTCCCATTCACAAAATTAATGGAGGAGGGGCAGTGTAATAATCTGAACAGAACAGGAACCGCTTTCAAGCTTTTTATTTTGGTTCAAGGTAAAATGGAGCCTGAGTCTTTTGCAATCACTGGAAGTAGAAGGGCCCCTGGCTTCTAACAATGAAATTTCACAAGCTCAACAGTTTCTTGTGTTAACAGTTTTACAGCACTGAAGTATAAGCACTTTCAAGTTTTGTTTGTAGAAGTGGTATGGCACATGTTGTGCTGTACTCTGGGAGCAGTAATCTTTTAAGAGCAATAATCTGTTTCAGGTTGGAAATCAGATGCATACACTATTTACAACACCATATGCAAACTGACAAGAAAAATGGAAAGGCGTTCAACAATGCATTTAAGTTATTTCACTGTTTCAAGCAGACTTTCCACCTAGGTTCCCTGCCTCAGCAACTATGAAGTTTCAGAATATAAAGTCAGATTTTCTGTAATGTCATACTTCTGAGATATAGTCTACCAGTGAATAGTTTCTTAGACATTTCATCTGAGAACACTATCAAATAAGAGAAAGCTCAAGAAAATAAAATTAGATGCGTTACAGGTACAATCCTATACAAGTTTATAGAGGAAAAAACACAGATAACTGAGGCATTCTGGGAGCTGTAAGCCTTTGTTCATCTAGATTGCCCTCTGTCCCTTTTCACAGCGGACTTTTAAGCACAGTACACAGACGTTACTTTTATACCTCTAGAGTCAATCTGAAATATTAGGAGAAGAGCCAATGTTAGTTCTACAAATGGGTTAGTAGACCAGTTTAAAATGAATGGGACTTAAACCAACACTGAATATAGCCAACTGGATGCAGTACTTAGGGTACAATCCCACACATGTCCAGACAAGGGAAAACATCCTACATGCCTGGCTGTGGGATACTGGGAGGTATATAAGGGCTTTTTTTCTGTCTAGACATGCACAGGATTGCATTTTTAGTAAGCTGTAGAATTTGTAGATACAAGTTTCAGCTATCTCGCCCTTAAAGCAGCCCAAGTAAACTTTTGCATGGGGTGGGCATGATATTACGTTCAGCTTTTTCTGGTCTTGCTCATGAACTGAGAACTTATTAGCACCAAATGCATGTGCCACCTACTCAAGCACTATTACGTTTCTTTCTCTTTGTCATCCCACCCCAACCTCTGCTGTTCCACTTGGTACACACATTATAGCGACATTCTTCAAATCTCTCTACCTGTAGGAGTTCAAAAGCTCCTTAATACTTTCAACCAGCAAGGCACGTTTCTTCCCCTGGGAGTTGGTTTTATTTTAATGTATAACAGACAGATGAAAATAATGAACACTCTGGCCTCAATCCAGTAAGCGCCAATGAGCTTAAGCACTCTTAACCCTGTGCTAGATTGTACCCACTGCCAATTGAAAAATGTCCATCATTAATATTTTTTACAATTATCGTTTTGAATACAGAAATAACAATCACCAACCTGAAAACTGGCATTCACAGACAACTACTGTTAACACTGGCTGAATTTCTGACCAGTTTCTTATTATAAAGGGTCTCACTGGTAAAGTCCCACCAAGAAGTAGCGCGTGTGTGTATTATTGTTTATAAGCACAAGAAATTAGTCATAAGCAAAATGCTGTCAGGGCATGTATGTTTTCAACTTTGCCATCATCCTCTTAAATTTCAACTGTAGTCTTAAAAGGCAAAAGTATCCAACAAATATTGAACTTTTAAAATGAGCAGTATGGTCAGAGCTGTAGTGTGAACTTTTCCCTTCATACTTGTGCTCTGTTGTACTTACACTGATCAAAGTACCAATTGAATTTTGGAAACTTTTGAACAAAGTCCAAAATCAGTACAGAGCTTTACATTTTTGTTCCAATTTTGATTTGAATTCAAATTTTAACTTAGAGAATGTTCTATATATGATATTATTAACTATTTTAAAATCACACTTGGACAGATTTAGCTAGTTAAAAAAAATCAAAGAAAGTATACCAAGGCAAGTCACATACTTTTCAAAACCCCAAGCAATGCTTACAGAGTGACTCATCCTTTATGTAACCTTTTCCCAATATTAGGATCTGAACTCACGAAATCCTTCAAAGTATGCTTTCCCAACCTCGGCCTCTAGATGATGGAATTTAATTTCCATCTGCCCCAATGAGTGTGGCCAGTGCTCAGGTGCAATGCGACTTGTAGTCCTTGTAGGGATCCCAAGTTAAAAAAGACTGCCTTACAGCCTATTAATATATGCAGACTGATTAAGGTGCCCACAGAATTTCATCCAGCTTATGAGAAGCCAGAAGATTTTTTGCATATCTACATATGCAAGAATAATTCTTCACTTACGCAGCAAGAGTAGAATACCCATTACTCATTCATCTTAACGTTAATATTCTAAAACTGGGTTTTATACAAACTCAAAAGAAGTACATGTTGAGAAGTAACAGTGACTAAGTATTTACTCAATAGTTACAATCATACAATTTACAGTGGAATTTACTTAGGTTTCTTCTTCTCCCTCTCATCTCCACTCTAAGTCTAGAAAACAAGCTAGTCACTATAAAAAGACCACGTATCGGTTAAGCCTCTGACAACACAGGACTTGCTTTTTAAAAGTTTAATTCAAATTGTTAAGATAAAGATGAATGACATCACTGCAGCTCCAATATGCTAAAACATTATAGAATATTTACAACCACCACCAACACTAAAAGCCTTCTTAATTCTTGCATTTTGCATTGTGACATTCTATAGGGCTAGGATCAGGGTAACCCAGCAAAGGTCAAGGGAAGGTAACCTCCCTTTAAGTATGCCTATCTGATTTTTGTTCAGGTTGCAGACAAATGCACAAGTTAAACTAAACCAAGCTCTCTCACAAACTTATCACTGAATTAGCACAAGACAAGAAAGCTGCAATCCTATGCACACTTACTAGGAAGTAATCATTACTGAAGTCAACAGGAATTGCTTCTAAGTAAAGCATGTGTAGGACAGCACTTTCAAAGCAGTATCCACATTATAAATTTGTGATAGTTTGACGGTCATGGCTACTCACCCACACAAATCCCTATCAATGAGGCAGGGGAACATGGAAATTGCAAATAATGTTCTGGCATGGGGACATACTATTATTAAAGATTACATTATGTACTACAAATAGACACTATGGTAATGCAGTGATTAAAAAAAACTCAAGAATGCCATACAAAGTACAAATTATTATACACATCTCACATCAAGATAAACAAGAATTTTGATGTTGGTGTTAAGGTCACTGGGAGATGTTTTCTTGCCCAGGGGCTCAAATGTAGGACCTTTTTTGGTCCAAAGTTATCTAAAAGCCTTACAAGATAAATCCAAAGTTTCCCGTGAAACCTAAACTATTCATATTTAGAATAACTAGTTGACTATAGATTGGCATAGTCGTTGCTTTTCAATATTGAGGGAGGAGTGCTGTGTTGACTCCAAAGTTGCTAATCTACTATAAATGTGAATATGACTTACAGCTCTTGAAGCACTTTATAAGTAAACTTGATTACTTGTATCTCCCAGAGTAATAATGACAGCTTAACAAAGATAGCTGCCAAGCTAAATGGCTAAAGATAGTGAGTTATCTGCAGCCTAGCTCTTTGGTCAGTACTGTATTTTCTGTGCTCTCTCTGTATAGAGATACCACCCAGGAAAGCAGCGTACAACACAGAAAGGTCAGCCTTGTTTGGAAAAAGTTGTGGATCAAGAATATATACTGAAATTACACACGCGTTAGTTTTTTCAAAAGCTACAAACCTTTTCTTGCAGAGTTGCACTTCAGACCACCTGATCTGCTGAAGTCTATGCTGACATATACTCCACTTTCCAGAGCCAGAGTACCATTTGGGAGGTGGCAGCTCGGCGTGTCAGGGCTCTCCTCGCAGTTTAGAGAATTTTCTCGCAGATTTAGAGCGATATAATTTAAGCCATTCTGAAATCCAGTTGACGTATCTCTGGACATCTTGCTTTCATGGCCATCTGAAATGTGTTCCTCAGGTTTCAACCACACATTGTCAAAAGAGGCAGAACTGTGCCTTTTACTACTGTCAGTAAAGAAAGAGGAGGAAGTGGTAACAGTGGCGGCAGAAGAAAAGGTTTCAGAGCTATGCCGCCTCCTTCCTTGTGGATCCGCACGGATGACTTTAGGTACAACTGGAGGATCAGGGCTAGGAACAGAAAAGTCACTGCTGCCAGCATATTGGTCAACAATGCACAGTCTATTAACTATGGAAGGAGGGCTATCAATCTTTAAGCCATTTTTGCTTTCTGTAGTAAATGGTCCAGGTGGCGTTGCTGCCATGTTGAAGGTCATCTCAGTGTAATCATCAATCCTACCGCTTGCTGTGCTAACACAGGCAGTACCAAACGAAAGCCTAGCATAATCAGAATCGGGTGGGTTTCTGGGTATACTAGAACTTGCATAAATTGAAATATCGGTCAAGGAGTTGGATAGTTCCTTAGCAGCTTTTGGTGACTGAACATCAAGATCAACACTCATATAGTCAGAAAGCGGTGACTGCCTATGGTCACTACTGGAACCAAGAGATGATGGAGATCCTTCTGCTGATAAAGAATATGGGGTATTACTTGCTTTTTCCCCAAAGTCAATATTTATATATTCACCAGGGCTAGATGGCTCAATTGGAATTGTACGATCATACATTCTTGGTATGGTGTTACTACCTCTAGTACCTAATGGAAGTCTTGTAGGCCTGATAACTCTGTTCTGTCCAAAGCCTTCTTCTGAAGCTTTCAGGAGAGATGATTTGGAAAGGCCATTAGCCAGAACTTCATTACTGACACTTTTACCATTTTCAGAGCCACTATACATTAGTTTTCCAGGTGATGACATTGGAACATACTCATCATTTTCATCTGACAGTGCCTTAAAGCTTCGTGGGAGAGAGAAGTAAGAGCCAAAAGTTTTGGAGCCAGTGTTGGTATGCATATAATTTGAATCACCAGGTTGCCTTGGAACAGCTGAATTTCCAGGTGACATATCCATATACTCATTGTTTGTCAACTTTTCATTACCGCTTTTAGAATTAAATCCAGTTAAAGGGCTACGCACAGGTGAAGAGATAGCCCTGGGAAACATCATCATATATCCCTTGGAGTCAGCCTGAGATGATGACCAAGAACTGTTAATCTGCTTTGGAACAGATACACTTTTAGGAGTCATTGGCAGATAATCACTGTTGCTTGCAAGCGGAGATGCAACTCCTGGCATCATTGGCATATATCCATCATCTCTGGCTTTATTCCTGCTTTGATTACATACAGATTCAAGGGCAGGTTCTCCATACTCAGGTTCAGGGTTATTTTTAAATTTTGGCGACTCAGAACAAGGCAGACGTCCATGGCTTCCTGCAGAATCTTCATCTAAAGAAGTTGCTGTTTGGGTTGTTTTCTGCTGCACTGGTATAGAAGCAGGTTTAGTTAAAGAATAAGTTCTTTTTCTGAAACATTTTTCAGCCTCCCGGTAATCATCTCTTGAACTATTATTATCTATTTGCTGCTTGCTCATAGACATGTATTCACTCAAACAATTTTCTTCTCTGATTGGTGGAGTATTGCCTAAGGAATCTGGGGTGTTACTCCTCACACGAAAGTACCTGAAGTCTCCAGGACTGGAACCATATTCATCCGAAGAAATAAAACCTCCATCGCTCGGGGACCCACAGACCGATGAGCTCGAAGGCCTTACGAGGGTATCTGAAGCCGATCCATGACCGCTACTTGAAGAAACACTGATGGGGCTCGTGGTAGATGGAAAATGAGATACCGGCAGAGAGGCAGACCTGGTGTGATAAGAAGAGCTAAACGCTGCACGAACATATCGCCCGCTCCCTTCTTGGCGCCCCAAATTCATCCTTGCGGTGTTCAGATGAATAAGACTTCCAGTAACGGACCTAAATGGTCTGGTCATTGTCCCCTCACCTTCACTGGAAGTTCTGAAGCGGTAAGAGCTACTGCTTTTAGTAGTGGGAGGAGTCCCCCCAGTAGCACACTCAGTTCTCGATCTTCTCTGTAAGCCTGTCTGGCTAGGCGGCAGGTTACCAAGGTGCCTCCTGGTAGTGATGAAAGAAATGGGGTTGGTGCTGCTGCCGCCACCAGAAGACTGACTCTTGCTGCGAGGTCTGAACTCAGAGAAGGCTTTCAAAGCTTTCATGGTTTCTAGAAAGGTCTCGTGCATGTTCTGGGCAACCACTGAATCATCGACTTGCATCCACAGCTCGCCTGGCCCAATGGAGGCAGACCTGCCCACCTCGATGAAGAAGAAGTTTTCAGAGTGCCCACATCGCCGAATGTTCATGAGCTGCAGGTGGACAGCGGGCACCTCCGTGTTCAGTTTGACGAGGTGGATGGCCTTGCTGGAGAGGCACAACCTGTACACCCCAGTCAAGTTCTTTGTCTGCCCCAGTCCCTTAGGCTTTACGTTGACTTGCCAGACTTCTTTAAACACAGCCCCTGACCTAAGCGAGCCCCCGTAGTGCTCGTCGTCGTCATCCAGCTGCTGGTCCGCCTGGTCCTCCTGCTCCAAGAACCCTCTCTTGCTTTGGCTCATGAGTTCGCTGATCGCCTGGTACCAGCCCTCCTGCTCAGCCTCGTTCTCCGCCACCATGGCGAAATACTCATCCTTGGTATACAGGGCGATGATGTGCTTATGCTTGGCATCTGCCCGCCGGCTCACCGTGAAGCACTGGTAGAGGGGGATCACCCGCTTGGGGGGCGGGCAGCAGAGGGCCACGCCGCCCCCGCCCGCCGCCGCCGCCCGCAGGCTGCTCTTGAACTTCTTCTCGCTGTCGTAGTACTCCAGCCGGGCAGGGGCCAGGTGACTCTCCGCCCGCAGCACGAAGTAGCGCTTGTGGCCATGCTTCTGCTTCCTCAGGTAGCCGC